AGATTTCTCTACCAACCTGCCTGACATTGTCCTTATTCAGATGTCACTTGGGCAGCCCAAAACCAACATAATCAGAATTTAACTGCGCCCTCTCCCTGTCCTGGCTGTGATGACGCCACATTCTCCAGACAGCCCCTCTTTTCTCCCATAGCACTCCAGTTCCACCTTATTTCCACTCTCCTCCTTCCAGAGCCTTCTGAAGTGCAACTGTCAGAGGCTCCAGTCCACAAGGGGCGCTGAAGCATCTTGGAACAAATCAGAAACGGGCCGGTTTGCCCAGGTTTCCACTCCTGTCTCCTGTAACTGGCCAAATGGCAACGAATCGCATTCCCAGTTGGTACATATATTAAATACCTTTTTTTTTTATTATTATTTTTTGAGACAGAGTCTCACTGTGTTGCCCGGGCTAGAGTGCCGTGGCGTCATCCTTGCTCACAGCAACCTCAAACTCCTGGGCTCAAGTGATCCTCCTGCCTCAGCCTTCCGAGTAGCTGGGACTACAGGCATGCGCCACCATGCCCGGCTAATTTTTTTTCCATATATTTTTAGTTGTCCAATTAATTTCTTTCTATTTTTAGTAGAGATGGGGTCTCGCTCTTGCTTAGGCTGGTTTCGAACTCCTGAGCTCAAACAATCCGCCCGCCTCGGCCTCCCAGAGAGCTAGGATTACAGGCGTGAGCCACCGCGCCCGGCCTAAATACCTTATTTTGAATTTGGATATGCGACAAGAAAAAAAGTGATTATTTACTCCTCTCCACTGCCTGCTAACAAAGGATCTTTCAATGCTGAATGTGGATGATATCTTCATCCTTCAAGGCTTTGACATACTTGAAGACCGTGGTAAGCAGCGGCTGGAATCTCAGACTTGGGGTCAGATGCTGGGACAGACGTACATTTCTAGAGCTTGTGCTGGAGAGTGGGTAGGCAGGAGTCAGGAAGTTGAGCACTGGAAAACAAAAGCAGGAAAAGCCAAGATATTTGGGAAAAGACACTTTTCTTTTCTTTCTTTCTTTTTTTTTTTTGATACAAGGCCTCGCTCTGTCACCCAGGCTAGAGTGCAGTGGCATTATCATAGCTCACTATAACCTCAAGCTCCTGGGCTCAAGCCATCCTCCTGCCTCAGCCTCCTGACTAGCTGGGTGCTGACTACAGGTGCACTCCACCATGGCTGGCTAATTTTTCTACTTTGTAGAGATACGGTCTCACTCTTGTTCGGGCTGGTCTTGAACTCCTGGCTCCGAGCAATCCTCCCACCTCAGCCTCCCAAAGTGCTAGGATTATAGGCATGAGCCACTGTATCCTGCAAAAGACTTTCTTTTCAGATATCTTTTATATGCTGATGCCTCCTAAATTTAGTTTTCTAGCTGAGACCACTCTCTTGATTTCCAGATTTGGAGCCATGTGATAATGAAAGCTAGCATTTATACAGTGACTCTTACCATGTCCTAGTTAGCTAAGGTAAGTGCTTCACTTGAGTTATGTCTCACAGGCATCTCAAATCCAACCAAAACAGTATTCCTCCTCTACCTGCCATTCCCAGAGCTCTCCGCCCCACCACGTTCACCTCCAGTATTCCTTTCCTCAGTGAAGAATTGGCAACCCTGTCCCCAAACTCCGCAAATCCTCCATCATCGCTTCTGTGTGGGAGCCGCCTAATGCCCTCCAGAAACTACTCTGGCCTCTGTGCCCACCCATTCTCCATCTGCCTCCAGAGTGACTGTTTCCCGAAGCAGATCTGACCCTGGCAGTGCCAGGCTTACAGTCCTCCAATGCCGCCTGCTGCTTTTACGATAAAGTCCAAATCCCATTCTGTGGTCCTCCCCGCCCCCATCTGGCCCGGGCCTACTCCTCTGCCTCATCTCGTGTTTTCCTTGTTTCTTCTGCTTGCCAAGCTCCAGCTCCAGGACTTTCTTTCATTTTCTAGGACATCCCAGTGTTAGGGTGTGTAGTCCATATGTTGGGGGAGAAAGAATTCTCAAGATTAGGATATACAAAAGTAAAAGTTTATTTTCCTGAGAAAGAAAGAATGAAAGAAAGAGAGATAGCGATAAAAAGAGAGAGAGAAAGAAAGAGAGTGGCCACCACACACAGAGGGAGGAAAGAAATGCTGGGCGGCGAGGAAAGTTGCTTGGTGCTTTTAAAGGGTAGAAATAGCTTTTTTTTTTTTTTTTTTT